GAGAAAGACGGATTATGCTACCAGCGACGCAAGTATGGGGCCAGTTAGGACCAAGTGCCCCCCCCCTCCCCCGTTGATATTACTGACACAAGAAAAGTCCATAATTATTCTGAAATGCAATGGCATTTAATGACTTGCACAAAATCCCTTAGGAATTCCAATACACTGGTATACCATGGATATTTTTATGCGTAGTTAAAACGCAATTATAATTACATACTCACAAATGAAGTAAATAACATCTGTCCAGTTAAAACATTAAATGCAATCCTTTTAAACTTATTTAAACTCGAGTCATTTGAAATTCCCTTTAAAATCTGAGCTAACTCATTGCACAATGTGGTCAATTTTGAAGAATTCCAATACGATATACAACAGCAAACGATGTGAATACCAACATATCAGATAATTAGATTCTAACTCTTAAAAAGATGAATATAGGTGTAGGAAGAAGTAGCATTTTGTGAATGTTGTTCTTACTTATCACTACATAGTGTTTCTTTGATGGAAAAAAGGCCAAGAGATGTAAATAGCCCACATGGTATTTCAAGTGACAGTCTGTAGATTTTGTAATATCAGTTTGTTCAGTGCTAACTATGCCAGTTTTTTTCACAATCACTTAATTTGCGATTATCATTTAAAAATGTATCATTTCACTTACCATAATAGGTTCCAGTGAAAACAAATATTAATGTTGTTTCCATTGTACATCATTGTCAGGACCACTTTCTACATCCTGACAGTCAGCAACCTCACAGACACAATAATTCCCCTATAATCTCATCAAATGTATGCATACCTGTCGAGTACAGACTCTTCAACTGTGTAAGCATTGTGTTCTACCTTCAAGACTGTTTCCGTCACCTCATGAATGAATACAGCCCACTCGGGCGTAAACACTCGGTGCACAGGGTAACGGTAACTCATTTCCCAGTGCTGGAACCAACAGGAGCTGGCTCAGTGTCCTAACAAGCCACATCACCCTGCACCACTACCACATACTTGCGAATGAACGTACACGAGAATGAACCTTCAAATGTAAACGCTAGGCGTATAGGCCAAGGCTACTGGTTGCACTCAGATGCGTCCTATTTGGCAAATCTCATTGGCCAGTCTCTCCAGGTATTCGGGCAAGTAGCAGTAATCATCGCCGTAAGAGATCACTTTGATGTCTTTGTCCAGCATGTTTTCACGAAGCTTCTTGAAGTTCTCCGGGTTGTCCCTGCAGACTAGCATGAAGTGTTCTAGGTCCGACTTGTTGCGCAGCGCTTCCAGGAACAGCGATTGGAATGTGGGGTCCTCCAGAGTGCGGCCGCACCCCAGGAACAGGAAGGACTTGGTCTCGTACAAAGTTTGGATTGAATTCTGTGGACACAGTCATCAAGGGATCCTGATACAATTTGGATTCATATAGCACAAATATGGGGAACATGTCTACTTAACATGGATATCACGGGTCATCAACATTAATCGTGTTCTAAGTTTGTCTCTAAATTCTGTCCCCAAAGCCTGCATGAAGGGTATCAGTCACCTGTAACTTTGGTTTCACCAAATATGATGTAGCAGGGTATAAACAGCACTTGGTATGAACAGGGCACCTTGATATGACCATTGCTGCATACAGCACATTGACTGTCTGAAGAATCAAATGTACAACACAAGAAATGTGAATTCTTACACACACGATTCAAGGCAAGTGTAATATTGAAATCCTAACAATAGATATAGATCAATTTCATCAATACACCTCTAATATTCAATGCTCAATAAGGTGCAATCTATATGCTTAGGCTGACTGGATGTCCAACATCAAACAATGGACAGAATGAAAGCTACCTCTGATAAAATACACAGTGAGGGACTGACAGGTGGAAAGACCACTGCAAGGCCACATGCACGAAGGCACGAGAGGAAGCCTCGGCTGACCAAGGGGAGTGTGCTCGCAGGACAATCACGAACCATTACTTCCGTGTTGCGCAAGATGTTCTTGTAGCCAGCCGGGTGCAGTGCAATGCCGGTGGGGTTGGTGTAGACACCGTGAATGTGCAGCACGCTGAATGGCCTCTTTTCTTGTGACCACTCAAGAACCTGTGCACATGAAAGCAAAAAGGAAGCTGCGAATAGATTGATGAATGTATTAGCTTTGCTTGAGACCAGTCAAGACGTCTTACTCCCAGCTATTGGCAGGACGTTTAACAAGTATGGCACCTCATGAAGAAAAGTGGCCTATGATTTTTGGATGACCTCCAGAGGATGTTCCCTCACAGGAAGTAACACGGTTTGATGTGAAAGTTCTTAAGGAAAATATATTTGATTCATGAAATCCTACTGAGAGTACAATTGTAATACATTTGAGGGGTGGCATTATATATACTCTCCAAGGACACCAATATAAATGTGTCGTGAGACAATAATAAGACGTGTTTATATTTTTCAGACGAACACAAAATCTAAACTGCGTGTACCGGTGTGAACAACAATTACATTTGAAAATAAGGCTTTACCCTAACTTAACAATACAGCGAAACTCATCTTGTTTGTATACCTATAATCCATTCTTATCTATGCCCCAGAAGATATTTGTGCAAAATCCTATGATCCGCAAGACATTTAACCAAATCATTCGAGCCTCGACATGGATGTGAATAATGACCTCTTATCCATGGGGCAGTGACATGGCCCAGCAAGTAGACAATTCACCACGTGTTGCAGAGATTCGCAAGTTCAAGTCCGATGGCAGCACTGGTTATTACTATGGGTGTAATAACCATAAAAATACTACGTGCTGTCTGCTTCACAGTGGATGTTAAATATCCCCCGATGTCATTCGAAATGAGCAGGCCACTGTGTGCTGGCGGAAGTGTACACTTTTGACAAGTTTAAAAACTACCAATAAATTACTCAATTTGGAATAACACATTGCAAAATTGCACCCGACTGGCAGGCAAATGGCGACTTCCAGGCCAGGTTCTAAGTCACCTTGTGCCCACAGGGACAGCTGCCATTGGGGGTGCCCTTTCGATTCGGAATCTTTTTTTATACTGGAGGAATCAGATGAGCTATGAAGCTCTTTTCACAGATGTGCAGTAGTTTCACAGATGTCCAGGCCAGATGAGATTGATGTGATGTTTGAGATGAGATTGATGTAAAGCGATCTGAGATGACCTGGTGTAAAGGGTGCTAGATCAAATACTAATTATTATCCATGCAAACGTTGCAAATACAGTAAAACCTTGGATCGTGAGCATAATTCGTTCCGGAATCGTGTTCATAATCCAAAGCACTCGTATATCAAAGCGAATTTCCCCATAAGAAATAATGGAAACTCAGATGATTCGTTCCACAACCCAAAACTACTGTATAAAAAAATGAATAATACAAAATACCTTTTTAGAATTTTATTATTTAAATGTAATATAAAGTAATCAAATTTATTAATTAAAATGTATCGTGGCTGGTGTGAGGGAGATGAGAGAGAGGAGAGGAGGGTCATTTTGTATGGAGGACTTTCACTTGCGAGTGCAGTTACTAAAGAACAGTCACTACACTTGGACACAAAAACAATGGTTTACGGACACACTTGTGGGCATAACACTACAGTAACAGCATACTGTGCGCTCGCACGGACGTAGACTATACGAGTGAGGCACGCCGACTGAGACCGAGCATGGGAGACGATTACCCACAATCCCGCAGCGAGAGAGAGAGAAGAACCATTGGCTCAGTTGTGATCACGTGACGCTCGGCAGACAAAGCGTATACTGTGCGTACTACAGTAGTACTCGTATTGCAAGACATCGCTCGTTTATCAAATTAATATTTATTTAAAAATGTTGCTCGTCTTGCAAAACACTCGCAAACGAAGTTACTCGCAATCTAAAGTTTTACTGTATAAATGTAAATTATGAGTAATTTGCGGCTAATTTCTTGACCCTCGGCAAAGAATGGCCTACTCGTTGAGAATGACGTCAGGTGAACTTCAACGTGATCTTATGAAAGTAGTCAATTAATCCTATGATCCAACCTTTGTGTGGAAAAGAGTGAACAAGGAATAGCAGTAGATTAATTCTGTTATCCCAGCAATTTCCGTGGATGGGTCGGCAGTTGTGCTAAATTTATCGTATTATCCAAGACTTACACGGGGACAACTGTTCAGGTGAAAGGAGTGATTTGCACTGCAGTACTCCCACATGAATCTGGGTAAGGCGATTTCCACTGTAGCAGTAAAAATGCAGAACACTGGCTTAGCGCGGTCGTAAAGAGCCAATGCCACTGATGCCCAAAGTTCAAATCGAGGCAGCCACCCATGGTGAAACTATTGATTGCTCAGTGCTGTTATCAGTCTTTAACGATAGCATCGATGTTATAGGATAGCATCAAAAATTATCTTGTGTTTTTTTTGTCTAATTCTGCCTAATCTTTCACCTATAGTCGCTAACATTTTATATCCCATAGGACTGACTTGTGGCATGAAGGAGTACTATCGAGTGTTGAGCAATACAGCATTATTGAAGTGAGAAGTAGTTTTGTAGTAACATTGTCGAGGGTTATCACTTGACATTGAGATGCTCTACTCATGGAAGCAATTCTAAAATAATATTCACATCACAACTTTAATTCAATTGTGTAGCTCAAGTCAAAGTGATTTCCTGCTCAAATAAGCGTTGACGCAGTACTCACCTGCTGTTGACAGCCCTGAGCCAGTTGTGAAGATGTATCATTCCTATGGCAGCGGTGAGTTTGTGCGTAGCACAACCACTGCTGACTTCCCCACAAAGTGGTGCTCGTGTTATTGCCCCGCGGAGGGAAGATGCACTGAGTCAACCCTCAAGCACAATTTGATCGCAATCTTTCGCTTGAGAGCCTCAGCTACCTGCCTGGTTAAATGCCTATCTGGCGATAAAATAGGAAAAATCCACGATACAAAAAGGGGCTCAGATAAATAATGCTGGTCTACACTTTGAATAAATGTATCATATTGGTAGGAACCTCCTGGTTACACCAGCCCACAGGGGATTATTGTGTCCGTCCGTCGTGCATCCAAAAATAGGAGGGGTGGGGCTGGGTGGAGAGGGGAGGGTGGGGAGGGGCTGGGTGGGGAGGGTGGGGTGGGGCTGGGTGGTGGGGGGTGGGGCTGGGTGGGGAGGGGCTGGGTGGGGAGGGGCTGGTCACCCCGCGGTGCCCTTATAAAACTCAACGTTTCACCTACTCACGCCGGTTTAACACGTAGGCTTTCGCGACCAATATTATTCATAATCAACGTTTTTGGGTTTAGATCGCGAATTGCCCTATGATGCTGGATGCAATTACCAGCGAAACGTCGTGCTACTCAAATTGTAAATGTTGTGGTTTCACGCTTCAACACACCGGTGGGCTAAAGCAGTGAACTATTTGTCTTTGTCAACGTGACACTTTTTTACTGATTGGCCGTGTCGGGTGGTGGAGGGTTACTACTCACGCCGGCTTGTGCCCGCCCTCACAGTCGGCCATATTTGCGGAATACACCACGCCGCCGTTGACCCTGCAGGCCATTGACCGAGCAACCGAACGTTCCTACCAGCTCCCTCCGCAGGAATGTGTTCACAGACATGATTTGAACAAGGAAAGCTGTGGACTCAAACGTAAAAGGCCATCGCAGCTAAGGGCACATGGCCACTGCAGTGGAAGCAGGCTTAGGCTCACGCACGATCTTCTCGTCGGTCAGGTCCAGAGACTCGAGGGCCTTGCCGCGCTGCGTGCCGTACATCTCCAGGAGGTTGTCAAAGTTGGTGGTGAGCACCAGGGCGCCGTGATCCATGAGCTGCAGCACAGAGTGCAGCAGGCACTTGCCCGTCTCCTCCATCTTGCTCTCGAGGCCCTCGAAGACGTCGTAGAGACAGTCCTTGAAGAAGGTGGAGCGCACGTGCCCCGTGCGCTTGTGCCCCCAGTCGCGGGAAGAATGAGACATTGAAACAAAAACTGGATTTTAAATGTTTCTGTTATTATACTCTTTGGTTCTTTCGGTGAAGTCGAACAAGCACCAAATATGAACAATAATAATGCTGTGTGCATAGGAAAGCCTCACCGAGTGTTAAGAGTCTATTTTGAGCAGCGTCCTGCACTTAGAACTTTGGCAGAAAACACTCACGAGCTCTCCCGTTACATTTAATCTACATCACCATCCAGTGCATGGACTAAATCTAATGGTGGACTGCATCCATTGCTGCAGGAACATCTACTGGCATCTTTAAGCTCTCCAAGCTCAAATCCCCATGCCTACAACTCAAATCCTAATAAACATTGATGATCACCGTCCAAGCAATAACCAGGCACGATCCTCATAATCTCACGAGAACTAACGCTGATTGATGGTGATTTGGGGATTTCACTTGGTAATTAGGTGATTTAGAAAAAGGTTAACAGGTTAAGATATGGTTTAAAATGAACCTGTTATTTAGTGTATGTGTCGTGACTTATATGGGGTCACTATGGTGTTTAGCGCCAACTACTGTCACAAGAGTGAAACTGTACGTCTTGAGTCTCTCTCTGGCACCAGAGTGGATATGGCATGGAAGCGGGCCATAGGGGGCATAGTTCTGGTGATGGTCGGAGAGAGAGCAAGTGAGGACGTGATACTCTGTGTGAACCCGAGAGGGCACGTGGCCGGGTAGCAAGAGGGTCCAAAGGGGGCTCGAGGGACACGTGATATGGGC